GCGTTGATATCTAGCTGAATGTTCCTCCCAAAAACATGGCTTTCATATATATATTTTAACAAAAATATCTAAATTATGACCCGGACCATCATTGCATGAACCGACGTGGAATCACCCATGTAATTAATTCCTTAGGTCACGGACACAATCACGATTTCATTTTTAACACTGCGACACAAAGTTGTACCAATCACGGGTATTTTGGGCGACCTACCACACTTTGCGACAACATTTTATACCGTGTAAATAGATCAGCTTGAGCTTTAGAATTTTACTTGAACACAAAGAAAGCACAATAAAATGCAGTATAGTTCTAAATTTGAAGCTGATCTATTTACAGGTATGTACCAACCAGCTCAACTCTTTACTCTTGCACTTAAACATTTCGATTCAGGTAAAATATATGTTACTGGTAACCAAAGGGATGTGAAGTCGTATGAACACGACGTTATATATGTTAATGTGGATTTTTTTCTTCTCTTGCGTCGAAATTAAAGGGAAACAAGCGGTTCTGTATTTAAGAAAAAAAACTTCAATGACCTTCATTCTACCTCCAGGATCAGGAATATCGAGATTATTTTTCAATCTGGTGCACGGAGGCTTCAGAAATTAATTTTCAAAGTACCGCCGAAGCCCCTCCTTCCCGGGGCGTGACGTCACACTAGGTGTTTTCGGAATCTCTGCTCTCGCGCATATTCAGCGCCTGTCAAAGCTATGCACGCGCATTCTTGCTATTTTTAAAAAAAGGTCAGAAAGAGACGCTACGACTGCCGTCATTGCGGGGAATATACCGGGCAAGCTTGCAATTGCACGCACTGCCCGCACGAGTGACACGTGCTTGGCGGCCCAATGATCCTAGTATGACGTCAGGACTGGTCGGAGGTTTTTCGCGTTTTATCGCTTTTAGTTGCATCTTCAGGGAAAACGAATGTGATATTCAGATTCACGGGATAAAAATACGCCAGAATTCACCTCTAACTCGTTTTTTTCAAGAAGCGTTTCAGCTTCACTTTAAATAACTGAATTTAATATTTTTGGTACGTAAAAACAAAAGTGAATTGCACGGACGATCGAAGAAACTATATAGTTAAAGGAGCTGTGCAACGATATTCAATTGGAATGTTTTTCCCTCTACACGAGCTTACTGGCACACCTGCGACTCAAGGATACTCACACGCAACGCAATTGGCCAAGAAACTCCTTTGTTGCGGTGTAATTTCAAGGACAAAAGCGATCATTTTCATTCAATCTCTCCTTTGCAAAATTTGATGACGTAACTCGGGGATCGCAGTACACCCAAGTGACGATATTTAAATGCGGTTCATAGATTGGACCCGAGCATTGCGTGGGCACTCGACTTGGGCTCGTGACAATTGCTAGCTCGAGAAGCATTCGGGTTGTGACCGTGTCCAATCGCTGCAACGACGACAACAGCCGAGCCATAACAATGTCTGGAACTCAGCGCGTGTCTTGCGCTTTGCCAACCCCAGCGCGTGGCTATGATCAACACTGGCGGCATATAATCGGCTCCAGATCACGTGGCCGCTTGTTCTGGCTGCGAGTTGAGGGGGTTAACGCTGCTCGTTTTTCTTTAATTTTTTTCTGGGACTTTTATTGCGTGGGGTGAAAAACGAACGCGTGTTTCATAGGTCATTAACGTTAGGTATTCGTTTTAAGCGGTATTTGTGCACAGTACAAAAATTGTTGCACAGCTCCTTTAATCGTTTCACGGTGTAAATAGTGTATATTGCCAGAACAACGCGAAAAATATATTCTCAATTTAGCGGTTCAAACCGGTTTGAACCGGTTTGAACCGTTATTTTTGCTCCCCGGAACTGAACCGGAACCGAACCGAAAGCCTTGAACCCGAACCGGAACCGAACCGATAAAAATTTCGGTTCGACACTCTGGACGCAACTGAAGGGAGTCGACTCAGAGCAAGTCACAGTGACGAGGGGTCTCCGACAGGGGTGCCCACTCTCCCCGCTTCTTTATATCCTGAATGTGTCAGGGTTGGAGGAACGCCTGATCCAGTCGGAGGTGGGTTTTTCCCTGACACACATGGAAGGAGGCGCAGAGGTGAGGTGGATGCTGCCGGGCCTCACCTATGCGGACGATATTGTATTGACGGCGGAGACGGTGGAGGACCTGCAGCGTTTAATATGTATATGTGAGACGGAGGCGGCTACGTTGGGCCTTCGTTTCAACGCCAAAAAGTCGGCAGTCCTTCAATTAGCCGGGTCCGATGAGGCTAAATTAAACAGTCTGGTGCTGGACGGCGAGCAAGCACAGGTACAGGAGTCGTACAAATACCTGGGAGTTGTACTGGCCAACAAGCCGGAGTACTTGTCCGATCATTACACCCACCTCCGACAGGCAGCCGTGCGAGGTACGAATGTACTCCGAAAACGTAATCTTTGGAGTTGCAATCGTTTTCTGGTGACTCGCGAACTCTGGAAGGCGGTTGTGGTGCCTGGACTAACCTTCGCCAACGCTGTTCTTTGTGTCCCTGGCACAGTGCGGGAAGTAATGGAACGTCGTCAACGAGAGGTCGGGAGGCAGGCTCTGGGCTGTCACGGAATGGTGGCCACCGAAGCGGTCCAGGGAGATCTTGGGTGGTCGTCGTTTGAGGCTAGGGAGGCGACCAGCAAGATAACCTACGACAGTCGTCTCCGTCTCATGGACCGCGGCCGGTGGGCCAAGAGACTCTTCGTCTACACATATCTCACGGGAATACAGACTGGCTGGAGGAAGCGGCTGTATCAGTTAGAGAAGAAATACGGCTTCTTTTCAACCCCTGTAACTATTACATCAGACAGGAAGTGGGAAATGGAGATTCGAAACAGGGTGAGAGAGGAGGACGCAGCTCGGTGGGCAGAAACGGCGAAGTCCAAGTCGACGCTATATATGTACAATCGATATAAGCACAACATTTCGGAAGAGACTAGGCTATACGACAACAGCCTGGGCAGCCGGCTCCTCTTTGAGTCACGCGCAGGAGGGCTGCGAACGCAGATGTATCGCCGTCGCTTCGACCAGACGGTTGAATCTGCAGCATGCCGTGTGTGTGGTCGGGCGGATGAGACAATTGAACACATTGTGATGTCGTGCACCGGTCTGCAACCAGTTCAACCGGCGGAGTGTGGACAGGCAACCCGGGAGCTCGCACTGGTAAAGGCACTCGGCTTTAGGTCTGCTTCCAGCTCAGTGGCAGACTCTGCGGGTGGGACTAACGGCAACAACAACACCGACGCTACACCGAGAACCAACGGAGGGTGGCGTGAGCAGGTGGAAGCCACGAAGCGAAGATTAGAGAACTGATGGATGCTAGTTCACCAACGGGGATAACCGAATTCCCACTGGCTAGGTTCCAAACTCTACGGGACCGCCCGATTCAAAAGGGAACAGCCGCAAACCATCATCATCATCATCATCATGGTCTTGTGAGCTGAAAGTTAAAGAAGGCGCCCAACGCGCTCTTGTTCCGCGACCCAGAGAAAATACCGAGGCGCTGCCGCGGTTGCAAAAGGCAGCAAAAATCGCTTGCTCCCCACCTCTGCACCGCTTTGCGCGGAGAAAATATCGTAGTTCGCGTTCGTAGCTTGTGTTTTCGATCGTTTTTTTTTTTCGCTGGCTTCTATAGTATTGTGGCAATAACCACTGATAAATGAGAAAGAAGAGTCGTAGACAGCCACCTTTTGTCTGTCTCTCCGCAGTTTTAAAGTGTGCAGATGGGCTACGGAGCATGCGATGCCTAAAAACTGTTGCGTGCCGCGTTGTAAGTCAAATTCTGCGAGAAATCCGGAACTCTGCTATCAAGGGCTGCCGTCTAGAGAGAAATTCCGGAGTGCCTAGTTGAAGAACATTTCGCAACAAAGCAGCGAGAAGGGCAGCCAGTGGCAACCAAGCTCCAGGAGCGTCGTGTGCTCCCTTCATTTTAAGGAGGAGGACTACAAGGTAGGGATGAAGCGTAAGTTCCTGCGACCGACAGCGGTGCCGACTCAATTCCCACTCTATCCGTTGTACATGGGACCAGCAGGTTCAAAGAAGCGCAGAACGATTGTTCTTGTGCCAACTAACGAGTCCACGTCGCAAGCGAGCGGTAGAAGCCAACAACGCAAAATGCAGTCCCCTGCAGAAAAAAGACCAGCTGTTGATGAGTGCGTGGCTATTGAACCTTGCCTGCGAAAAGAGTTTAAAGTGGAAGAATGCCAGACGTCATTCAACTTGACAGGCTTCATGGAATATGCCAAGAGAAACACGCACCGCCTTCAAATGCAAGCCAAACGACTGAACGAGTGAATGAAAAAAACTGCGACAAACCTGCGACGAATTTGAAGAGAGATTGAAGCAAGGAAGGCTAATGTGTAGGACCCGCTCAACTTCGCAGGTGACGTGTCCTAAATGCAAGCTGCAACTTAAGGAAAATGAATCACCGGACGGAGCAAATCAGTTCGTGTTTAGCCTTCACTCTAAAAAAAATCCGTTCTTGAAAGGTTCTTCGCCGCCCCAAGAACTCTTTTTCCTCGTGAAGAACTGTTTTCGCTCAAACAGTGTCGCCGCCTGGCGCACTAGAAAGGCGACCGGGCGATGAAGAACGTTTGCCTGGAAAAAAGTTCTTCATAACGTTTCTTTTTTGTTTTCGAAGAAGCGGTTGCGCGCGAAGGAGTGCCGGTGGTGCCGCTGCGCCGCGCCGTTTGCCTGCGTGAGATTCTGTAAAGGCGAAAGTAACGCCGGCCAACAATTCGGGGTTCGCTGTTTACTGTTTCGACCTGGTTCTGTCGGCGGCATTCAATGGATGGGGTCACGGTGCGAGAACATACAGACGTGTCTAGATGGAAGCTCCAGGACGTGTCAGATTGGTTGACAAAGCAAAACCTTGGAGACTTCGCCCAGAGATTCGAAGGTAAGCAGAATGCTCCGTCCTCTTTGTTTGTGTTGGTTGGCGGCGTCGGTTTCGTCTCGCGTTTTCAGTTTCCAAGTTGAGTGCCGGTAACGGTGGCTGATTGGGGTCTCGATGGCGCTATCCTTCCATACTTCCATGTGCACGCGAATATTGTTTTTATGAAACTTGTAGTGCAGTGTGGATATTTGGACATGTTTTGTGAGCGAGGAAGTGCTTCCGGGTCTTTCGGCGATTGGTGAGATTTGTCGTCGTTTGTGCGATTTCAGCATGAGCGGATACGAGTGTTCAAAGTTTTCGCAGTGCTACCACACCGGGAGTCATCTGACAAATCATGTCCAGATAGCTCATGGTGACCCGGACTTTAATTCTGTTTGCAAGTTGGGTGAGTGCTCTCCGTCTGGACGATATTTTATTGCATTTGATAGCTTCAGGAAGCACATGGAACGTAAACATGTCGAGGGAGGATCTGGGGAACCAGAAAATGGAAGCAGTGTGGGGGTGATGCATGCCACTGCTTTATGGTTGTCCCCCCCCCCCCCCCCCCCCCCCCCCCCATCTTCACTCTCTTTAGACTATATTTGTGTACACCATCAGAATAAAAGGGCAGAAAAATGTGGTATAACTTCTGCCATTAACATATATAACATATATGTATGATATAAACTGCATGTGCAATATTTTATCCCCTTTTATGCAGAAGAGGTTGATGGGAAGACGTTACTAAACTTGTCTGTGTGGATGATTGAGCAGTTGCTCCCTGCTATGAAACTGCAAGTCAAACTGCTAAAACTGATTGAACAGCTAAAAGGAGACATAAAAGAAAGGTGGGGCACATTACTCAATTGAAAATTTGTGTTCCATTTGTGAAATTCGAGATGCACTAATTACATTGTTATCTTTCAGCTTGCCTGGACCCTCCAATGTGCCTCGTGCTAGTAACACAGCAGCCTCAGTTTGGTCTACAGAGGTTGTAAGGAATGTATTGCCACAGAGATATACTCTCGCATAATTTCCCTCGCTACTGTTACAGAGGCTGTGTGAAAAGAGTGAACTGTTCCTTCAACCACAGCAAAATGAAGCACGAACAAAGTTGGTCGCTGCGTTGGCAGGCGACATTCTGAGCAAAACTCCGAAAGCAGCAGCATTTGAAGTCCTCACTTATATATCTTAAAATAGAGGCTAACATTTGTTGTTTTTTCTTTCGAGAACGCCAAGTCGGTCTTAGCTAGATGATGTCATGCGTGCCCTCCAAGCCCATACCCCATCCTGGCCGACTCCACTGGACGCTGCGTAAGATTTACAAGAGCTTGTTTTCCTTCTGATAATTGAAATGCTTGTATCGAAGTTCATTATCTGCATTGTAACAGGCTTGCTACTCATCAGTCTCACTGTAGGATTCACTGCGACACAGCCTTATTAACAAAATGAAAAAAAGAAAGGTTGCTTCTTATGCATCTGCCAGAAGTTCAGCAAAACAAGGAAAACTATGGCAAAGGTGGTGGGCGAAAGCGAAAGGAAAAACGCCAACGCAGTGACTGTATTCAAAAATACAAAATGACCATGGTAAGTTTGTTATCATCTGGTTCTGATACAGTTAAAAGAAATAAAAATTACCTGGAAGCGGGAACTGTTCTTAAATAGTTATTCAGCTAAATGTAGTTATGTAATTGCTGCACCATATGCTTCAAAGTGCTTAGCCTGTTACATTTTGCCAAAATGAGAGGAATCTTTATACAGTTTTCATTTGCTTGTCCAGAGGAATGGTTAGAAGCTTGGGAATGACCTTACCAAATTCGGCTTGATTGTTTTTAAAGGGCATATTTATTGTTCGCAAGCAGATTCTTGTTATGAAGTCTTAAATATACGACACTGATATTCACAATCAAATGACGAAATCTTTGTTTTATTATAACCTTTAGAACTGTAACAAGACATCACTTCGAGTACTCAAAATGTTTCTATTTTTACATTATTTTGGTACGTACTGTTTGCTTTACTTTTGATTCCGTATCTAAAACCACCATTCACAGATGTTCATACTATCCGTCATCACTCAGACTTGTTGCCATGTCTGGTGCTTCTATGTGCAACTAAGCAGATAGTGCTTTGTTCGAGAGAATCAAACTTGTCAAGCAATTGATGATAACAAAAGGTTGCACAGGAGTGGGAGGGCAAAGTAGATAGTGTTTTAGTGGAGCATGCCAACACATTAACCGTGTAATAATATTCACAGTGGTAAGAATAAAGACAAAGTTTTTGCTTACATGCCAATACATCTTTTAGCAGCTCCTAAACGTACTTTTGGCTACTCCTAAATGGACTTCTGACTACTGCAACAGGTGCTCCAAAGTGACTTGAACGAATCACATTGCTGTAAATGTAATCTGTAAAAGTCACAGTTGCATGGCTTGTCAGATATATCAAATACTCTTTGGTTGTCTCTCGGTTAAATCTCTTTTGTTGCATTGAACTGTCTTATTTTAGCTAAAATATAGAGTGCATATAACTTGGATCTATTTAAACCCGTGCACCCACTGTTTAAATTACATTTTTTTACATAACATAAAATAAGGCTTGCTGGAGTTCGTCTGGTACACAACTTTGTTCTTCAAATCTCATACTCTGTGCATGGCACTGACGTTTTTTTTTCAGGTTCCACGTCATGACGTAGGAGGTACCGACAACTGTGCAGACCACGTAGAGATTATGGCTGCTGAATGCTCCAAGGCTGCAACAGATGTGAAGCTCTTACTTCAAATAATGGCACAGAATAACAGACAAGGAGGGTAGACATCGCTGGCAAGACCACCACTGATGTTATTTAGCTGTACCCGGCCCTCTGCATTCCCGAAGTGATAATTTTAACACCTTTTCCACTAAACTTTCAAAGCAATAGACAGCCTGAATGGTGGATCAGTTTTGTCTGGTTTTGAGTTGCTTCAAACCTAAAAAGGGTATACTAAGAGACTTAGGCACTGTCTAAATTCAGCTAACAGCCTGGTCTGCAGCTGCCTACTTGCGGTGCCGCGTTGTGCTCTTTGTCTGGGTTTAACACCTGTTTCTGCCATGCGCCCTCGCAGTGTGTGGTTGGAGAGGGGCATCATGAGAAGGAAGGGGCCAGAAGTCTTGTTTTGCCGCAATTCCCTTTTTCCTGCTTCCACACCTGAGTGGTTGCCTCGTCCATCGCGTCTCCAAGATAGCATTTTTATCCATAAAGTATACCTCAACAAGAAATGGTTTTGAAGCTTTTGCAAGTCAGTTTTTGTTTTCTTTTGTTAGTGGTCAAATAATAGATCTGAGCTCGCTAACGTGCCACATATGAAATCAGACATCTAGAACGTTGTCTCCATTTTCTCCAGGCCAAAATTTCAGTGTCTCATTTCAGTGTTCCACTAGGCCGTGTTATATTTGAACTATATTTTAGGCAGAGAAGCATTCTACTAATGTGCTAAGTTTCAATCTAGTCATGTTCAATAAACGTCAGTATGTTTTTTTTTTTTTGTGAACCGCGGTATCTTGTCTTCATTTCACCATTGACAGGTTGGACATTGCAGAGCATCTCTTTTGTTTCTCCTACCTTTATTCCCTATACCTCATACTTGGTCTTGACAAGAGTATCAACGATGAATGTGTACTTGAATACCCATCCAAGCCAGTGGTTCTGCAGTAGATGTAGTGCCCCAGAAAAGAAGCCTTGTCGTTCAAAGCCTGTTTTGCACGACTGTTGACGTTTGCAAAACGTCTAGGTGATGTATATTGCCTCTTTGAACAGTTCGAGACAGTCAATAAAGAGCGGTTTACAAAAGAGCTACTGTACACCTAAAATTGCTGCCCAAGTCGCTTTTTGCAAATAAGTTATTCAAGTTAACTCGAAAGTGGTCTTTGCAAAAAACCTTTCATTGAAAAGTTTCATAATAGAAAGCTCTCTCGGTGAAAAATAACTTAAAAGTTAGGGGTGAGCAAGAAGTGGTTGAAATGAAATCCTTTGTAGTTTTTTTTACTTCTCTCTCAGATGGAACGGTTTTTCATCAAACACCTTTGCAAGCTTCTTATAAGCTCTTTCAATTGACCAGTAAATCATGAAAAACCTTTATTGAGTTTTGTTAGGGTCTAAGGAAATAACAGTTCTAAATAACCTCTCAAGGGAACTTTACTTTCGGGGTGTGCGAATAACCCTCGGTTCAAATAGCGCAGCGATATTTCTAGATTCAAGCAGTCCACTGTACACAATGACTTTCATTGCAGTGTTGAACCTAGAAATATCACTCTTCTTTTTGAACCGAGGGGGTATTCGCACACCCAACATAAAAGTTCCCTTGAAAGGTTATTTAGAACTTATTTCCTTAGGCCCTAAAATAACTCAATAAAGGTTCTTCATATTATTAACTGGTTAACTAAAAAAGAGCTTATAAGAACCTTCCAGAGGTACTTGATGAAAAATAGCATTATCCGAGAGAGAACTAAAAAGAACTGTTTCAGCGACAGAAGGGCTGGAAAGAACTTTTTAAACGTTCCGCACGAAGAACTGTTCCATTGAAAAGAGAACTTAAAAGAACTGTTAAACGGTTCTTCACCAAGAACTGTTTTAGCGAGAGAAGGGCTGAAAAGAACTTTTTACAAGTTCCTCACGAAGAACTGTTTCATTGAAAAGAGAACTTAAAAGAACTCCTTAAAGGTTCTTCACGAAGAACTTTTTTATAAGGTGCTTAAAAGAACCTTTTAGGGTGCAAAATATGGACAAGCCGAAGAACTCCAAAAAGTTCTTTTTCGAACTGATTTTTTTTAGTGTGTTGACCAAGGAGGGCTCAGCTATCCAGGACCTGAAGCTGTCTGGCCGTGCACGCTCGTGTGCACCTTTGTCAAGAGGGCTCTACAGTCGGCAAAGATTCGTCGTTGTGGACAGGTTTACGAGGTTCTCTCGAGCGCTGTGCTTCCACACCTTTTGGAATGCCCGCTGATGTGGTGTACTAACTGCAGAGGCCCGTACCACAGCGAAGAGCTCTGCAAGTTCTTTCTTGGGAAGCTCCTCAAACCTCTTCTGGCAAACTCGGCCGGTGACCTAACCAGCTCTCTAGAGAATATATTGAGAGTTTCGCAGAAGCCTCTTTCACAAAAGGTATTCCGCTTGCGAACTATATGACTCCCTTGATCTGTTCGTGAACAATGAAGTTTATATTGCTGAAGTTATTTATGCACGAGGAATCCGTTTCTTATTGTCCCTCACAGATAAATAAAAGGCACAGGTCGAGCGTGCTAGAGCATTGTTTAAGACCGGAAATTATAGGCCTAGCTATATTCAACTATAATTCCTATATTACAGTGGTAATAGAAACGGGGCAACACTTACGGGAACAAGCAAACGACAATTAGCTCATACTGTCAGCTAAATGCGGCTCTAACGTGCAGCCTGCAGCTGAGTGAGCTCCGCGCAGAAAAACATCGTGTGCTTTTATTCTACACAAATTTGTCGCACCATTCATGCAATCTGGCACCCGTTTCAAATGAGACTTGCCTCTTCACGAAAAACAATCTAAATAACCACACCGGGCCGGGCCGGGCGGACTGATCCTCTCTCGCCGATAACGAGCGCCACGGCCGGGCTGCGGGGTAATGTAGAACTATCGCTCTCACCGGCGGAGTGGGGCATACGGCAGGCCCCTCCCAAGGGGAGTCCTAATGAAGCGGCCGTGGATGTTGCATGTTCCCGCAATCTTGTATTCACATACCGGCCAGATTGTCCCACGTAAGCTTTCCCGCCGGTGAATGGTATTTTGTATGCTATCCCGTTGCGGCATGGTAAATATTTATTATTGTGCCTCGCTTTGCACTCATCCTGGTGGTTTTGAGGTGAAATGATCTTGGGGCACAGTTTCTTCAGCCTGCCCGGTGCCGAAAATACCAGTGGAATGTCAAATCTGGATGCAACTTTGTTAATGTTATGTGACAGCCGGTGTATATACGGCACAACTGCTGGACGTCCGTTCCTCTTCTCGCTTTCTTCTTTTTGTTGTTTTAAAGTAAACTAATCATATTTTCGACAACCTCCGATAAGATGGTATAAGGATAACCAGACGCCTTGAGTCTTTTCACCTTTGTATCAAAGCTCCTTCTTGCCCTATGGTCACACGATTTTTTGAGGGCAGCGCAGAGACAGGTATTCATAATCGCCCTT